AGGGGCGGACAGATACCCACAGCTGCCCTTGAAAGAGTTGCTCGCCAGATTCAGCTTGCTGTCGTGGCATCGTTCAGCACGCTCTTGCATAGAAAGTGGGGCTAGGGGGGAAAGTTATGAAAGAGCGCCAAGCGGCAGCGAGAAACAAGTTTCTTACAGGAGAGGTGAGCGAAATCCCAACCTGAACCGACCCCCGAGAATGGCGTTCAAGGGGGGAAGTGAATCAATTCACCAAGGCCTGGTTGGATTCTTGTTGGCTCACCTCACCTTGCCTCACCTTGTGTCGCCTCGCCACCGTTGCTTCTCTCGTAGTGCTGCAGGCAACAGGCTGGACGCGTGTGCCATTCAAAATCTGGCTTCGCCCCTCATAAAGCTATCAACCTCGAGCTTCAGTGCCGAATTTGACGCTCTGTGTAGGCTTGGGACGATCGACTTATCTTATTGACTCGAGATAAGAGCACGAAAAGCAACGAAGGTAGTCAAAACTGACAGTTCGACTTTAGCACTTTCACGACTTCAACCTTCTACTCGTGCGTTGCGAAAGGCTTTTCGAACAGAAAATGGCCGTCAGTTATGGGGACAGCAAAGCTGGATCGAACTTCGACCTCACGGCGCTACATTCTTCCAACTCCTCGAGCTTCCTCCCGGCGGAGATTTTGCAGAATAATTTCGATTTCATGGGCAGCATCGGGCAGGGCCAGTACGGGCGCGTGTGGAAGTGCCAGTCGCAGCGCTCGGGTCGCTACTACGCGTGCAAGCAGATTAAGAAGGCGCGGCTCACCAATGGGCGTATCCAGGCCGTGCTACAGGAGATCGCGACGATGCAGCGCCTACGTGGCCACCCTAACGTCGTTGATCTCGACAGCGTATACGAGGACGCCACGTCAGTGTTTCTGCTCATGGAACTCCTTCCATCAGGCGACCTCTTTAATCAGATCTCTACGCGCAGCGGCCTTCCCGAGCCTGAGGCCCGGGACGTGTTCCGAGCCGTCGCCGAAGCTGTGAAGCACTGCCATGGGAACGGTATCGTGCATCGGGATATCAAGCCTGAAAATATCCTCCTGCGCGCGCGCTCGGAACTGATTGCTGATTCGAATGGTGAATCTGACGAGCATTGCGTGCTGGCGGGAGGCGGCGAATCATCAACGGCAGAAGCTCTCGACTGCGGGTGCCTGCGGGGATTTGAATGGGACGTGAAGCTTGGAGATTTTGGCCTCGCTAAGCGTATCCCCGATAGCGGCACTGTCAAGGGTTGCGTCGGGAGCTTCCCGTACGAGGCTCCCGAGGTTCTCGCGTTGCAAGAGTACGACTTCTCCGCGGATATGTGGAGCATGGGCGTGCTCTTATACGCGATGCTATCGGCTAACTGGCCTGAATTCAAAGACAACAAGCGCGTGCTCGATGAGTCGAGGGACTGGACGCACCCTGTATGGGGTCTGGTCAGCGACGCGCCGAAGCACCTCATCCGTCGGATGATGTCGGTGGACCCGAATCAACGGCCCACGATCAACGAGGTCCTGGAGAACGAGTGGTTTTCGCAAGAGTGTGTGGACGTTCTCTGCCCGTCCACGTTGACCGACAACCAGCAAACGACAGAATCCGCTATCCTCCCCGCCTACACCGATTCCACCATTCCGCTCAACTTCGCTCCCGAGACATCGCCTGACCCGCAAAACGCGGCGGAAATCGCGGCGTCAATGCCTGCGGCACAAGCAGCTGCAACCGCTGCGGCGGCGGCGGTGACGCAACCGCATCTCCTCAACGCTATGGGGGATTTTTCCGAGGCTTGTTCCATGCCGGACCCTCCTCTCACCCCTGCAGGGCTCGCCACTATTTCCTCTTTCTCGAGCAGTACCAGCAGTGTCAGCAACAGCAACAGCTGCTGCAGCAGCGATGCGTGCAGCCTCTGTGAGCAAGCGCGCGAATCTGAGAACGCGCAAGGCAATTTCGCCGTGCGTAGAGTTCGCACTTTAAAACAAGAGGCTTCGGACGAGCATATTGACGGCGATGCGACCTGTGTGAGCGGCGCCGTCGCACGCGCTGAAAGGCCGGTGGAAAACGACGCGGTCGGTCCGGCGCAGCAGCAGGAGGAGCTCAGCGCCAGTGAAAGGAAACGGCGACCGAGCGGACGGTTCGGAAGCCTATCAGGGTGGGCCGTGTCCAACCTCTGGGGTTCACCCAACTCGGTGGCGACAGCCGCGCCGCAAGAACAGACCGAACGCTTTACCGAGTGCGCTTTTTCCCTACCGCTGCTGCGGTTAAGGTGATAACCTGCTGGAAAGCGCCATGCTTTATGTGTAGCTAAACTGGGATTTTTGCCCTGCTTTTTGTGAATATGTGTCGACGCTAGCGGGGGGGGCAGCCGTGCTGCTCTTTGGCGGGGCCATTGCGATTCCTTTGTGAATGAGGAAAGGTGTGGTGTGCGTGCGCCATGTTTCTTCCTCATATGTACAGTAAAATAAATATCAACCTTCCAGTGTCCATGAAAACCCTTCGCAACCAGCAATGTAGGTTTACCCCTGATCAGAACAATCTCAACTACGTGCCTAACCACCATACGGAGCATTGGCAAGTTATTGCCATGTTTCTCTATTACATATACCAGAGCCGGCCCTAAGAAGATGAGTAAGACAGGGTCTGCACCAACACTACCATTACCATTCCTCTGTTGTGAATGAGGGAAAGTGTGGTGTGCGCCATGTTTCTTCCTCATGTACAGTAAAATAAATTAACCTTCTAGTGTTCATTATGTCAAGCTATTATAACAATTTAGTTGTGTAGGCTGTAATGGGATAGCCCATAAGGGGTACAACCCAATTAGAGTTAGTACTTGTACCAACTTTCTTCTCAATGCAATCATTCTCTCGTCTAGTTTCTGATATGGTTTCAGAGCAGGTCCTGTTCTAGGACTGTTTTGTAGGGCCCACCGATTAGTTCGCTGCCCGTAGCGCCCTACCCCACCAGTCGCGTTCAGGGCTCTTGCCAACTATTTGGGCCGTCTGATGAAAAAGTAATTTTTTTTTTTTAGTCTGACCATCATATGGGTTATCAGATAGATGTATCCTCGCTGTCTGGAAACTCATACGAAATATAATCTGTGTTCTGAAAAAACATATGAGTATAAACAGCTTATCTGGGCTCTCATACCGTATGAGCCGCATTTTTTTGTCTGCGAGAACATATGAACAACAAAAAATGCGACTGAAATCTAGACCAACAGACTAAATTAGTCTGATAACGAGAGCCCTGGTCGCGTTGCCCTGCCCTGCCCTGCCTATCGCGCTGCCTTGTTGGCCGCGCGCTGCCCTGCCCTGCCTGTTGTGCCGCCCTACTGGCCGCGCGCTGCTCTGCTCCGCCCGTCGCGCCGCCCTGCTCACTGCGCGCTGCCCTGCCCTGCACGTCGCGCCGCCCTGCTGGCCGCGCGTTGCCCTGCCCTGCGTGTCACGCCGCCCTACGGCCCGCGCGTCGCCCTGCCCTGCCTGCGCGCTACCCTGCTGGCCGCGAGAACTAAATAGCGGAGGCCACAGTGGTAACCAGGGCCCTAGATATCAGACTTTGGAGTCTGATTCAGAGTCCGTTCAGACTTTTTTTTGTAGCCTAGTCTGAACTCCAAGAAATTTTTTAGGGACCCTGTCTGATTTTCCAGAGTTTTTTTACCTGACTTGTCTGAAATTTCAGACTACTTTGAGTAGTGTACGCTGACCTTCAGACTTGTATCGGGGGTGCACTCTGAAACCGCTTATACATGAGTTTGGGCCTGCCTGGCGGCGTGTAGGCTTATCCCCGTCAGTCACGGGCGGGAACCCAGAAATTTCGCCACCGCGGCACCGCACAGTCGCGTTGGTACAGAATTGCTGTAATCAACACCAATTCCAACCAATCGCGGCTGCGCACCAGGCAGTGTTGACAAGATTCCTTGCCAACACTTAGCTCGCAGCGCGGTGCACCAACGTTTGACACCACGACCACCCACCACACCTCCCCTTCATTGTTGCCAGCGCATAGCTCGCAGCGCGCTGCCACTCTCACTTCACCACATACATCCACCCCACCCCACCTTCCACGTTGCCAACGCACAGCTCGCACCGCGCTGCTACTCTCACGTGACCATATCCATCCACCCCATTCACCCCACCTTCCCACCATTCACGCCCAGGTGCCGTGCATGCAGTGACCACCTGGGGGTTGAGAGGTCCTTATACGAGGACCTCTCATCTTCCTCTTCGTCACCGTGCTTGCCAGGCTCTCTCACGTCTTTCCGTTTGCCTGGCCTGAAACTAGTGTACGAGCCCTTGTTTCAGCCTCCCATTTCCGAGCTCGCTACACCACTGCTCGGCAGGCTCAATGGCTGCCTCAGAAGCTACCCACTCACCGGTCTAGACTTCCTTAGGTCTCTCCTACCGAAGCATAATCCACAGCAACCTAAACCGTCGCAACCCAGCTCTATTCGCCCATCGATTCCCGCTGCCTCTGCAGCTCTGCACGAGGCCGTCGCCGAACCAGCGACAGCCGCGCAACAGGCGGTGCGCCAAGATTCGTCCGTCGAAGCACCTTCTCGTCCCGCGCCACCGACAAACCTGCGGTTCCGTCAGTCCGCCATTGCGTGGGCAACACCACCTCCTTCATCGACCACTGAGACTCCTGCCAGTGATGCATCTCCCATGCAGGACAACTCGAAGCCCACGCAGGCTAGCTCAAAGCCCAAGGCCGACACGCCTGAGTTGAAATACGAAGAAGCGCATGCGCGGTACAAATCCAAGTGGTCCACCGATTTCAGTTGGCTTGTCCTAACTCAAACCTCCACTGGTGCTCCTTCTTTCAAGTGCAGTATTTGCTTGGAATTTTCAGGATTGAATGGCAAGTGTGGGCGGCGTACCGAGGGAGCAACCGACGTGCAGACACAGTCCTTCAAGAAGCACGAAGGGACGGTGAAGCACCGGTTTGCTCTGCAGCGCCAGGAGGACTTGCTCCAGAAATACGGGCGCCAGCAGCGCATCGACATGCACCCGAAGGCGCAGGACTTGGAGATGATGCAGGTGTCTTCGCTCGTGGACTCGCTGTACTTCATGGGGAAGTCCAACGAGCCCATGGACTCGTGGATCCGGTTGGTGCGCTACCTGGCGAAGAAGAAAGTGCCCGGGTTTCCCGCGCAGGGCTACGACACGTACTACAACACGTAAGTAGTGTCTGTTGCATGCCTGTTGGTTTTGTTTCTGTTTGACTGTCACTAACGACTACGTTTTCTTTGTGTAGGTACGGATTTGGAGAACTCACCCAAGCAATTGCGACATGGCTCCAAACAACGCAACTTGAGCACCTTCTGACGAGCCCATTCATCAGGATTACACTGGACGAGAGCACCGACCGTCGCCGCGGCAAACACATGATTGTGTTTGCCACCTTTCTCCGCGAGGGACAAGTTGTCACGGAGTTTATCGCCCACTTGACTGTTGAGAAGGCTGACGCTGCTTCTTTGTGCAGTTTGTTGGTTTCCCACCTCAGGGCTGTCGGCGTTGACCTGCGGCGTATCTTGGGAATGAGCACTGATGGCGCGTCTGTGATGATAGGGAGTCAAAACAGTGTGGTTGTTCGCCTGCGAATGCTCATCCCCAATCTGGTCTCGTTTCACTGCATCGCGCACAGGTGCGTTTGTGTTTTAATGTGTCACACTCTGTATTGTTTAACCCTTTGTTTTAACAATCACTAACCCATTTGTGTGTTTCTGTTTGGCAGGGAGGCGTTGGCTGCCAAGGCCGCGGCGGAGCAGATACCAACGTTCAACATGGTGGACGATGTCATCCGCGCCGTCGCAGAGTACCTCGGGCGATCGTCACCGTGGCATCAGCGCTTCATGGAGCTGCAGGAGGTGTTCACCTCCACCAACCTCGAGGTCCAAGGCATACATGACGTGCGGTGGCTTTCACGAGGAGCTGCAGTCACCCGGTTCGTCCACGTCCTTCCAGCGATCATGGTGATGCTGTCGGAGTGGAAGGACCAGACCATGTACGAAATCGTCACGTCGTACAGGTTCCAGTTCCTCATCAGGTTCCTCGCGGACCTACTGGAGCAGCTCAACGTGCTCTCCTCCGTTTTCCAGAAGCGGGAGGTAAGTTGCCTACTACGTGTTGCATGTTTTGGTTGTAATCCGCTTTGTACTAATTTTGTTTGAATGTGTTTGTTGCAGCTCGACTACGCGGAGGTGCACACGCAGATTGTGCACACGACATCGATCTTGGAGAGCCGTTACGTCGACTGTGGTGACGACTTCGGGGGAGGGCCAACCGAGAGGATGTACCGCTTCATCGAGAAGCATGGACCGCGTGGTTCACCAGAAATGGTGATCGAGGGAGTTTCGTCCGATGGCAGTCTCAACCGCTTCAAGGTGACGCTTCACGAGCGCACCAACCCGAACTATCGTGTGATAAGAAACGAGGAATGAAATGACTAAGGGAAAGTTGGGTACAAATGCAAACCCTAGGAAAACTGTACCCCATATGTGCTACCCCACTATAGCCTACAGTAGCTATGTCATATAAATCTGACACACCCCCATAGGCAAAGTGGGGGAGAACAAGGGGTCACAAGACCAGTCAAGCAAAGCAAAACAAGCTCAGGGTGGATCACAAAGTCACCACACATTCCGAGCACAAGTTCAAGGCCACAAGGCCAGTTCACATGTAGGATTACATATATATATATAAGGCTAGACAAGCAAGAGCAGGTGTATATATATATGCAACAGTACAAACAAGGTCAAGGGGTGAGCAAGTGAGGCAAGGTAGGCACAAGACCCAGCTGAGTACAGAAGCGCTGATGATCACAAGGCGCAAGTGCCTTGGTGAAGATATCAGCAGTGTTGGCCTCAGAGGCCACGTACGCAAGCCGCAGCTGACCACGCTGCTGTAGCTCACGAGCAAGGAAGTAGCGGAGAGCAATGTGCTTCGTTCTGTGCTCCAGTCTCTGCTCTCGACACAAGGCCAGCATGGCCTTGTTGTCTACGTACAGCACTGGAGGAGAACGAGGCGGCTCTTTGAGGTCAGTCAGCAGGTAGGTGAGCCAGCGAAGCTCCTGTGCAGCCATGGCCCCGGCGTAGATCTCAGCCTCACAACTGGAGCCGAGAACAGAAGACGAGCGGGTAGCCCGCCACGAAACAGAGCCGGAACCAAGGCTGAAGGTGTAACCCTGTGACGACCGCTGCGTAGCCTGGTCGTCAGCCCAAGAAGCGTCTGCGTGCCCAGTGAGGACCACTGGACTCTGCCCTCCAAGCACAAGCCCCATGCCCGACGTACTGCACAAGTAGCGCAACACCCTCTTCGCTGCAGCCATGTGCTCCGGTCTGTGTCTCCCAGGAGCAACATAGCGTGCGAGAATGCTAAGAGGGTATGCAAGGTCAGGTCGTGTGCAGGTCATCAGGTACATGAGGCAGCCAACAAGCTCTGGGTACGGGCCACTCGACTCTACGGACTCATCCGAAGGCAGAGCTGAGAGCGAGTGGCGAGTAGGCAGAGGAGTGGCCTGAGGCGAGGAGTACGTGAAGCCGAAGCGCTGAAGGACCTGCTGCACCATGTGTGACTGAGTCAGGGTAATGGTGCGGCGTGCTCTGTCCCGGGTGATCTGCAAGCCAAGGTAGCTGCGCAGTTCACCCAGGTCTGTGCACGTGTGTCTCTTCTGCAGCTCGGACTTCACGTGGGCGAGTCCAGCAGTGTCAGCTGTGGCAAAGACCAAGTCGTCGACGTACACGAGGATGTAGAACGGCGGCAAAGAAGTGTCGCCTCAGCAGTAGCCTCAGCGCCAACACCCTCAGCAGCTCCAGCTCCAGTCGTACCCGCAGGCCCAGCAGCTCCAGTACTCCCAGTACGGGCACCTCCGGGACCCGCGGCACCAGCACCCTCAGCAGCCGACGAACCTCCAGCTCCAGCAGCACGCCTCCAGCGCCGGGCAAACCACTCGCGCAGCTCCTGTGGAGAGAGTGGCTCCCGCCGAGGCGAAGCACCCGGAGAACCTCCAGGCCCAGCACCGCCAGACGCCACACGAGCAGGCCCAGCTCCCTCAGGCTCCGCACCCCCAAGCTCAGCACCTCCAGGCGTGGCACCCCCAGGCTCAGCACCCCCAGGCTCAGCACCCCCAGTAGTAGCACCCCCAGGCTCAGCACCCCCAGGCTCAGGACCCCCAGTAGTAGCACCCTCAGGCTCAGCATCCCCAGACGTAGCACCCACACGCTCAGTACCCCCCGAGTCAGCACCCCCAGGCTCAGCACCCTCAGCAGCACCAGAGTCACCAGTAACCTCGACAGGCTCGACTGCGTCTACCTGGGACACACCTGAAGGGGCAGGACCCTGAGGGGGGAGGGGGTCTACCGGGGGGGGACCTGGTACAAGGAAGAGCGGTGGCGGGGGGAGGGACGGAGTGCGGTAGGGGAAGAGGCGGTAGTAGGGGACCGACTCGTCAAACGTGACGTCCTGGGAGGACAGAACACGGCGAGAGGTGGGGTGGTAGAACTGCCACCCTGGCGCGTCAGGGGGGAAGCCAAGGAAGACGCAAGGAGCAGCACGAGGGGACAGCTTGTCCGCAGACAAGTCGCGGACAAACGCCCGAGATCCCCAGACACAGAACGCAGACGCATCGCCAACCTTCCCAGTCCACAACAAGGCTGGGGAGGTCTCCGGCATGGAGACCCTGGGGTGAAGGTTGATCTGATGCGCCGCGTACCGAACCGCAAACGGCCACAGAAAATGGGGGGCAGCCGCATGCATCATGGACGTACGGGCGACGTCCATGACCATGCCAATGCGGCGCTCAGCAATCCCATTTTGCTGTGGAGAGTCCGGAAGCGTGAAGGTCTGGCGGATGCCTCGTGCACGACAGTAGGCTCGCAGAAGGCCAGAGGAGAACTCTCCACCTCTGTCAGAGTGCAGACGCAGAACAGGAAAGTCCGAGCCGAAGCTCTGCCTGAGCTGGAGACGAGCTGCGCGGATCCAGTCGATCAACACCTCAGTGACATCACCCTTGCTGCGCAAGGGGAAGACTGTGGTGTAACGCGAGTAGTCGTCAACCACCAGCAGGAAGTAGCGCTCGTGACCCTGTCCACGGACGCGGGCCGGGCCCCACACGTCCATGTGAAGCGTCTGCAGCGGGGCCTCTGTCGGAGGAAACTGGGAGGAGTGAGGGGCAGCCCGCTGCCGCCCCTCGACACAGGGGACGCAGGTAGGGCCAGGCCCCGGAGGAAGGGGAGGGAGGGACCGGGGAAGACCAGAGACAAGGACACGGGAGGCCATGCCTCGGAGACGAAGCAGGGAGGGGTGACCAAGGCGGTGGTGCCAGAGGAGAGTCTCGTGAGACAGGAGGCGACACGAACAGGGGGCAGACTCAGGACCAGACCTGGACGCTGCAGCAAACACCTGACCCGACGCAGCTACCTGACCAGACGCAGTGACTGGAGGAGACGCAGTGGTCAGGGTGTACAGGCTCGACCCTGGCCGACGGGTAAACGTGGCCAGGTGTCGGCCAGTCCGAGCGTCCGTGCAGTGGGTCACCCGCTGACTCGCAGGAGTGAACTGGTGAACCCCCGCATCCTGTAGGTCAGCACCACTCACCAAGTTCGTAGAGAACGAGGGGAGGTAAAGACCAGACAGGGTGCCAGAGGGGGCCGCCGGACACGGGAGGACAGTGGAGAAGTGAGCAAGGACAGGACCCCCAGAGGGGTCTGCCAGAGAGACCGCAACTGGCCGGCCAAGCGGCGTGAGTGTGGTGCGGTCTCGAAAGAAGGAGCGAGAAGCCCCCGAGTCAAGGGTGAAGGTGTGGGAGGCCGAAGCCGACGCAGAACCTGAGAGAGCAGACTCACCAGCACCTGAGGGAGCAGACGCACCTAGAGCAGCAGCCTCGCTAGCACCTAGAGCAGCAGCCTCAATGCCCGGGTCGGGCGGAAAACACCGGTAACAGTCACCCTCATCACTAATAGTCACAGTATACATGGCAGCAAGAATAGCATCAAAGTCAAGGTCAAAGACAGCGACACCCGCCCTAGACAGCTCACCCCAGCGGGGGATCTCAGTGGCCTCAGGGAACTGGTGACGCCAAGCGTCCGTCAGGCGGCCAAAGCAGCGCTAGGTGGAGTGCGCACCCCCGCACTGGTCACCCGCGCGGTCGCTGGTGCGGAGGACGTAGGTGCACGGACCAGTACCCCCACCCCGCTGGCGTGCAGCGTACCACTCACGGAGCTGCTGAGGGGGGGGGATGTCACGAGTGCGCTGCTGCTGCTGCTACTGCTGTTGCTGCTGCTGCTGCTGCTGCTGGCGCTGACCACCACCGGAGCCGACCCTCTGCGCAGCGCCACCCCGACCAGCTCCACCTCCTCCGCCGCCGCCTCCTCCACCGCCGCCACCTCCGCTCCCACCGCCACCGCCGCCGCCGCCTCCGCCTCCACCGCCGCCACCGACACCTCCACCCCCACCACCACCCCCACCGCCACCCCCACCCCTTCCACTGCCTCCACCACCGCCTCCACCGCCCCCGCTAGCTCCTCCAGTGCCCCTGCCCCCCTTGCCCTTGCCAGGGCGGCGTCTCTCGCTAGGGGTAGACGCCGCACCGACCGACTCAAGCCCAACGAGGTCGGCCGCAGCAGCAGAGGCAACAGAGGGCAAAAGGGGGGAGGGGGAACACCCCTCAAAGATGGGGGTGCGAGGGTCACCACGAGAGGCTCCTACAGCTACTATGCTCTTCTCTGCTGCTAGGAGGGACTTCTCGAGGAGGTCAACGGTGAGAGTGGTGGGGCAAACTGAGAGGAAGTGGTCCCTGACTACGCGAAGGGAGTCAGGGAGCCGGGTGACTATGTAGTAGAGGGTGATGTACATGGGGGGGGGGGGTTCTTGGCGCAGAACTCAGCAGGAAGCGCAGCGCGTTAGCGGGTGTCACTAGTGCGGAGGTGCGTAATGAGGTCAGCGACTGTGGGAAAGGCAGCAAGGTCAGGGAAGAGGTACGGTAGCATGAGGCGGCTCAGTGCAGCAGTGGCAGGGGAGGAGTAGCGCGCAACTACAGCGTCGTACAAGGTCTGAGCACTCTTGTACTGGCTAAAGTGCGCACGCTCAGAGGTAGGCAGGTGGCGACGCACAGCAAGACGTGCAGCAGCATCGCGCGTGGCCCACTGTGAGCGAACAGCGGCGTCAGCATCAGCAGCGGGGGCAGGAGAGGCACCAGAAGTGAGGTCAAAGAGGGAGAGGCCGTCTGCTCTGTCGCACTGTAAGAAAAGCTGCAGGTCATCTATC